AGTCCTGACTTCTGCAAGAAATCAGGCTGAGCAAGCCAGGATGAGCAAACCAGTGAGCAGCACCCCTCCATGGCCTCTGCATCAGCTTCTCCAGGTTTTTGTCATTTTTGAGTTCCTGTCCTTGCTTCCTTCAGTGATGAACTATGATGTGGAAGTATAAGGCAAATAATCCCTTTTTTCCCCAAGTTTCTTTGGTCATGGTGTTTCATTGCAGTAATTGTAAACTTTACTAAGACACAGAGTGTGGGTGGTTTGGGTAGCTTGTCTTTTTTATACAGTAACTTGAGCATGTATGTATCCCTGTTGTTTTTCTATAGTTTCAATTTTTAGAATGTTTATTTAACTAAATTCCTTTCGGCTTGTTTTAATAAATATCTACTGAAAATAAGTTACAGTTAGGTCCTGAAGCATAATAGCTCCAGGTATGAAGAAACCAGTCATGATACAAAAGTGATTAAATTCTAAATATAAGACTAATCTAATTTCAAAGTTGATAGACTTAACAAAGATTTGAATTATAATGCACAGGTCATTGCAGTCTTCTTGAGAAGAGTGCCCTTCTGATACAGCTCACTAGTTTGCATGAGTTTTGAAGGTTGATATTTACAAGGTGAGCATGTGCACTGTTCCATGACAAAAGCCTGTGTGTCTCAAGGTTAAAGAAAAGACACCACCACTAAAAGACCCATGTCCGTGGAAGCAGTGACTGTAAGAAGATCTGAAACCTTCCTCCATGTCTGAAATTTAAACATGCTTAGCGAATATAAGTGTAGGCATTTGTAGACCTGACTGAAATTATGAATTTTAGAACACAAGATTTGACATGTAGAGTTCAATGAATTTTACTTTATTTATCAACCTCATAAATTTTCAGCAGAATCCCATCAACCGCAGGTGATGGTCTTTGCTCCATTAAAGATTGTTTTCATTTTAGCTTTAATGGAACTATAGATTTACTTCTTATATATGCATATATGTCTTTTCTATTTACCCTTGGACTCTAATAGGATGTGGTCTTTTGTTCCATGTTTCAACCATATCATACATAACAACAGTTCGTTGTTGTATCTTTAAGTAGCATTGTGGATAGACTTTATTTTGTTTCTCAATTCACCAGTAAATGAACAATTTGGTTTTTAAAAAAATGAATTCACAATAGCAATTTTAAGTATATTACAAGAGAAATCTGTTATTGTCCGTAGTCCATGACAAAAACATACTTGTATTACACTTTCCCACTTATACATTAACAAATTAGAAGTGTAAAATCCCAAATCATATAAGTAATTGACTTACATTTTTATTTGCGCAGTTTATACATTTTATAGTGGTATTTGTCTACATTAAGATTATATTAATGTAAGGCCTATTATGAATCTTTAAAAGTTATTTTATTTAATATACAATATAATATTTTCAAAAAATAATTTTATGAGCATATATTATCAAAATAGCAATTTTCCTTGTGACAGGTTCCTAAATCCTTTGTGTTGACTGATCTTTCATTTCCCTTATTCTCTGAATTTCTTTGTTCTTTGCTTCATTTGTAGCCTCTGCTACCAGTAATTCCCTTTCCACTGATAAAATCTTGTCCTTATTTTGAAACACGGTCTTTCTCCACATCTCTGACTGTTCCTGAATTCACTATGTAGGTCGGGCTAGCTTTCAACACAGAGATTCATCTGCTTCTGCCTTCTGAGTGCTGGAATTAAAGGTGTATGCCACCATATCCGACTTACAAAGTGTTTTCATTTCTTTTTTTTAATTTTTAATTTTTCCATTCAAAAATTTCCACTTCCCCCCTCTTTCTTCCCCCTTCTTTCCCCCACCGCCCGCCTTAAGAGTGGGCAGGGTACTCTGCCCTGTGGGAAGTTCAAGGCCCTCCCCACCTCCATCCAGGCCTAGGAAGGTGTGCCTACAAATAGACTAGGGTCCCAAAAAACCAGTTCAAGTAGTAGAAACAAGTCCCAGTGCCTTTATCAATGACTTCTCAGTCAACCCACATTGTTAGCCACATTCAGAGTCTGGTTTGACCACATGCTCTCTCAGTCCCAGTCCAGCTGGATTTGGTGAGGTCCCATTGGATCAGTCACCCTGTCTCAGTAGGTGGACGCACTCCTTGCGATCCTGACTTTCTTGCTCATCTTCTCCCTCCTTCTGCTCTTCAACTGGACCTTGGGAGCTCAGTCCAGTGCTCTGTCTCTATCTTTATCCATCGACAGACAAAGATTCTATGATGATATTTGAGATAATCATCAGTGTGATTATGGGGCAAGGCCAGTTCAGGCACCCTCTCCTCTGCTGCCCAAGGACTATTTCTTAACATGACAGGATGTAGTGTACAGTGTCCTTAGCTAGCTGGTGATATTGGCTACAGGGTGTAGTGTCCACAGTGTCCTTAGCTGGTGATGTTGGCTACAGGGTATAG